CAAAATATTCACTTGGTAGCATGTTTGTTTGTATGGCATGTTTTTGGTGATTTTTGAAATATTCATATATCATAAATATTTCTTGAAAATTAATCATTTTTTGGCATACATGACCTACGAAACTAGGATTTGCTGATAAATTCCCCCTTTTGATTTTGTTTTATTTGATGAGAAACATGTCGAAAACACAACATATTGAAATTTGTTTTTTTTTTAAATGTTCATGAACTTTTTTTTCACTTTTGACCAATAATATAATATTTTGTAAATAAAATCCCAAATTGTTCATATAATTCTTTGACATGCTAATCACAATGACATGCAAATTTCTATTTAGAAATTCTCAAAATGCTTTAATTTGATGAGAAACATACAAACAAAACACACTAGGGTCAACATTAGGGTAAAAAAATTATTAAAAAAATAATAAATAAGCAGCACAATAGAGCATATGTATGCAAAAAAAAGGTGATAAACTTCTAACCTTTTAGTACTCTGTACTCTTATGATGCTACATTATATAACAAATATTTTTCATTCTTTGCGCATTCTAGTAACCAGGTTTTAAAGAAATGTGTTGACTAAAAACTCTGCTGGTGCTGATAACAATGGTGAAGCACAATGGAGAGTTACTTTGCAGTGCAGTGCGGACGTCAGTCAAAGCTGTCAGTGTAGAACCAATGACCTGCTGAGCCTCCTTCAAGACAGCAGAGAATACCTCATGTTTCCCCTGTGCAGCCGCTGTAACAACGCTCAGCAATAACGTGAATGGTTCAGTATGGCAGCATGGTGAGAATTTAGCTGTACCTGTACATTTTCTTATTTCCTGGGGAAGTACAGACTCTGCTGAGTTTTCTTTGTGAAGCAAGTAGTTTTGACAGAACGTGTCAGATGTGCTAAAATATAGACTCCAGGAAATTGAAGTTACATACATTTTCCTTCTCTCCTCCTTGTACGAAGGACAGAGGCTTCTAATTACTTTTACCTTCTTATCAATTCAGCGCAGTCTTCACTGTGACCCAAATGGGCAATGCATCTCCTTTGTATTTTAATTTGTTGTTCTTTGTTGCATTAACCCTAAACTGTGATTGTTTAATTTGCAAATTCAATGAATTTTAAGTAGTACCTGTGAGCTAACCAATAAATGAAAACTTGAAGAACTGTTTTGACTGTTCCCTAAAATTATACATTTGAAAATTCAATTAGATGCACACTGCTGCTAGCTTGAACCTGTCTTGACTGATACAAATCAGATATTATTATTTTCAATGTGAGTCTTGAAAAAGGTGGATTGAAAGAACAAGTTTATTTATGACATCCTCATAATAAAGTCATTGTGTCCGATCAGCAATGAGTTAAAACATGATAAATGCCAAAAGTTAGTTCTTCTAACTTCTTAATTTGACCAACAATGAAGAAAATCCCACTGATTTTTGTGGAATTTATAGTGTTTCAAATGCAGTTTGCTAAAGATTTGAAGCATCAGCTGTGAGACAACTGAATTAACCTAGTCCTGGATGTTGGGTTTGGAGAAAGTTCATACACACAGTGGGAGAATACTGTATGAGAAAGGAGAAACCATCTGTTACTAACGTGCAAGGAACTGGTGATGTTTCTGCTGTAAGGCAAGAACACCAACCACTCCATCCCAGCTGCTTGTTATTCTTGTCTTTTCACTGTTTAGTTGTTAATAAATGAAATTTATCTTTGAACAGTTTCTGCCCCATTTAACTCTGACAAAGGCAACGGAAACTGCAGAGTCTGGTGAAACAGTAGGAACCTTTTCTTTAATAATTGTTATGCACTGGAGGGTAAATTATACATCAGCTTTTATTTCATTTTTGCTAAAGAGCTCCACAAGCAGTTATGTCAAGGAAAAGTCCTGTCACTCAAATAATCCTGCTGCTGTTCTGGGTATTATAGAATATTTATGTATGTATGTATGTATGTCCTGATAGTGGTTCACTGCATTATAAAGGAGAATGTTTTATTCACTAAAATACATCAACTGTATTTTCCAAAGTTACATTTTTTATTTTTATATTTACTTTGACAAGAATAATATTACCTACTTTTGAAATAAAATTAATTTCCAAAGAAAAAAGGCAATTTCATTTCCTTTTCACTTTCTTGAAATGTTCTTTTGGAGTTTTGTGACTGCTGGAAATCATTTTGATCATCAGCAGCTATCTTTAGCCAACTATTTATAAAGTACACATCACGGATAAGACACAAAACCTAGTAATTAACTTGTAAATCTTCCACGAAAGCAGAAATAATAAAACACACAAATAATCAAACAAACGCTTAATCAAATAATTGGATTAAAGCAAATAAACATATTTATAAAAATTCAGTGCAGAAAATAAAGTTCTGTGCGGGTGTGTGTATTGAAGATAACTGTGTAATTTTAAGTTATTTTTAATTATGTTTTGCTTTGTTTATGCTGTGCTTTCTATACAGTGTACTTTGTGGGGGGGTTCACAGCAGATAAGAAAACTCACAAGTACAAAGTGTCTTTGATTTTAATATGTCAGTAATGTATTCTTAAAGGGAGGAGTGAAATACTGGTGAGCCCTTTTGTCTTATGGCTGGGGGGAGGAGAGGTGAAGTGCGGAACCCCCTGGCACTGCATTTTGGTTGTATACAGTTGTATTTCTCTATATGCAGCCCTTGGTGCAGTGGTCAACTGTCCAGACTATCCACCATATTTGTCTGATGGTCGCTGTGATTGGCTCCAGCTCTGCCCTCAGGGTTGGTGGCATAAAGTCAAATATACAAAACATAAATCAGTGACTTTTGCTCCTTTGGTTGCAACAAAGTTTGTTGTTCTGAGAAAAGCCTTAATCCTTTACCTTTTTTTACTCCAAAACCCAACTCAGCCGACATTCAGAGCAATGGCAATCAAAAGCTGTGGACAGGATAAAATCATCTTCCCTTTGTATTTTGTCTATTTCTCTAAAGTCTAAAGTGCAAACATATAAATAATTGACAACACTAATCATGAATGAGCCTCATCACAGAAGGAATTATTAACTCCAAAAGATCCCATATTTGTAAATCTCTGAGAGGAATAAGGTTACTGAGAAAACAATAGTGCTCTCACCACTCGCTCCATCATCATTTTCTCTCCCACGTGTGGGAGGTTAAAGTGAATTTGAACTCAAATAACATTCCCTGCCATTCTCCCCATCCCAAGTGTGTGCATTGCCATTAGGGTAATAGTGTTCAGCTCATATGAAAAAAAATGGATTTAGGATCCATTAGCTTATTGGGTGCAAAAATGACATTATTTCTTCTCAATGTGAACTCCACCAGAGAATTTGAGAGATAAATTATGCCATATAGGAGCAGCCTCTGATCTGTCAATCAATCCTCACATCATTTCTATGCCCCTGTGGTTTGCAATCACCCGTTTATTCATGGCCTCAAACGGATACTGTAGGAGTTCACACAAGGCATATTACCAAATATAAATGAGACATTCTAAAGGCTATAGAAATACATTAAAAAGTAAAGAAAAAACTGCAGTTTTCATGAAATGCTCATTTATTTTCATGTATAAATGAAAAGGACCTGATTAGAGGTTTGTTTTTCTCTGCTCTGCAGTGACACCACAGGCCGAGCATCCTCAGTTAATCCAGCTGTCGTAGCAAACTGGCTATTTGAACAGAAGCCACTGTTGTTGACGCTCCATTAGCGTCACCACAACCACCTGTTGTCTCCTCGGCATATCGTTCAAACACAGGTTTTGGTCACACTTCATCTAAAACACTGTTCACTGTCTGATTGCGGCATTAGGCGGACGCAGTAATAACTTCCTCTCAAGGATTAACTCTAAACTTGTTACATTTTGTTCTGGACTAAAACGTAACGTAAGCCACTTGGTGCCGGAACTGGTCAAAAAATGTTCCCTAATACATTTCTCTGTTTATTATCAGGCATATCTTAAACAATTATGATCAGTTGTTTCACTACATTGAAGAACAAAATAAATGATAACTAAAGTCTTTCCAATTTCCTATTTTATCTACTGAGTAATGGGCGAGTCAGCAGATTAACATCTCAGATCTATACACATGGGAGAGAGCTAAACTCAAACTTCAGTGTGGCCTTAAAAGGATGAATTAGAAATGAAATCAGTGTGTCTCTGAAGAGTTAGAGCTCAGCCAAATTGGAATCTCTCCATGCTTCA